TGCAGTAAGCATGGGGCAAAAAGAAAAAAATAAGGTTAGGATCAGAGGCCCTGTGAGTGCTAATACCTTGCCTGAGGCTGCGCTGATCTGGAATTTCCAGGTATAGACAGAAGAACGGGAAGTGGCTTGAAGTGATGGGATTAGAAACAGTGGGTCTCTGCTCTGTAGGCTGAGTGGAACCTGGACCAGGGGAGCAGTGATGCGTGCCCGAGTTGGGCCCAGCACTTGCATACATACTGCTTGAGTAGGTCCTGGAGCCGATGTGGAGAATTAACATCTACAGATTGGCCCAGTGTGGGTTTTAAGGCCTGTCTAGCGAGACGAGCAGCTGCCGCAAGTGCGTGCAGGCAGGGCTGCCATCCTCTTACAGTGGGATCCGTTTGTTTAGGGAAATAAGCAACTGGTCGCTGGACAGCCCAGGTTGGCCCAGAACCCCTAGAGCAATGCCCTGTTGCTCATCTGTCAATAACAGGAATGGCTTTCCCGGGTCTGGGAGAGCGAAGGCTCATCTCAGAGAGCTTTGCGTGGATAAAGCAGAGAAAACAGGGTGTAGAAACAAAGAAAAGCATAATCATAATCACTGGGCCTACTAGGGGCAGGATCCATGGCAGTAAGGGAGAGCTGGTCCACATTTGGATGTCCTGGCCCCAGCTTCGGCTGACGAAGTATCGATCAGAGGGGACTTTGCTGGTCAGATGAGCAAGTCCATGAATGTGTTGGAGGAGGGGGAGACACCTGAGTACACATGATTTCTCACCAAAATCTCTCTTAGACCTTCAACACTTTCTTTTGCTTTCTTTCTTTCTTATGCCATTTCATTTTACCCATCTTGAACACCATCTAAACAATGATGAAAAACACAAATTTAAGGTAGACAGCCCCTGTAGCTTTTCGTTCCTGGACCCAGTGATTTACTTGGCAGAGACTGGTGTCCAAAGCCTGCATCTGTTGGGCGATAATAACGTTTCCGATTTGGCTAAGGTCACCCTGCAGGGTTTGAATCCAGGGAGGAGGAGGGGTGGGTGGCCGTCTGGAGAGGATTTTTAAAAGGGGAAATACCAGCTGGGCTGACACTGTGTAAGAATCCCAAGCTGCAAAAATTTGAGGTGACAATGCTCACTGTGGGACTGAGTTTGATCACAGCCTAGGGCTTCCTGGTGTAGGAAGATGTGCAGATTTTCCAGCTGAGCAGGTCGTGTGGAGTAAGGTTGGTCTGTGCATAAACTCTGTCCACCTTGAAGAGTCCTGTTTGGATTCTAATATACTGGTCCCCGAGTCTTTCTTAAGGGGAGCTAGAGACCTTCTCTATCTGCTCCTTGCAATCTGCACGTTTTACCACCTGGACCCAAGCCTTTGCAAGAGCTCCTGCATCCCCTATGCCATCCCTGTGCCCAGGATAGAGCAGCAGGTCTCTCCCAGCAAGGGGGCAGTATGGTCCTCAGGGAACTGAGCCTATGATGGGGGAGAGAGGCCCAGGGTTTCCTGCCTCTGGCCCTGGGGCCACCCACACAGCCTCATACCCCTCCTGGGCCCTGTACCTGCTCAGCTCTCCCCAGCCCCTCCACACCCCACCACTCACCCACTATGCTCCCCTCCAGGTGTTTCACCAGTTCCGTGGCCCTCCTGGCCCTTCACCTGCTCTGCTCAGGGACATCAGTTTTGCCCAGATTTCTGTGCTGCAGTCCCATGGGTCTCATGCTGCTCCTGGCTCCTGTGACTGGGCCCAGCCCCTGAGCCTCTCCAGAGCCTCAACCTTCCCTGGTGTACTCCTGTTCCCCATGGCCACTTTGTGCTTTGGGGTGGGGAGGCTTTTGTCTGGTGTGGTGCTATTTTTAGTCTTTGTTGCTCTGCAACTCGAATGCTGCACAGCAACAACAAAATTCTAGGATAATCGCTAATACCCTGTCTCTGGCCCTGATGATTGCTGAAGGGGCCACTGCACTGGAAGGCCAGCCACATCTTGGGGGAGGTCTTAGGGGGGTGCTGGAGGCCTGTGGAGCTGGACAGATCGTGCTGGCCCTGCTTTCCTGGTCCCTCTCCAGCTGGGGGCCTGTCTCAGTGGTGCTGCCATGCTCCCCAGTGTCCTCCAGCTGGAGGACTGACACCAAGGTGCTACTGTGCTCCCTGGTGTCCTCCTGCTGGGGTCTGGCCACAGAGGTGCTGGTGTCCCCCCAGGCGTCCTCCAGTACCGGGCCTAGCGCAGAGGGTCTGCCCTTCGGGGCATCATCTAACAGGCGGCCTGACCCTGCGGCGGTGGTGTGCTTCTGGGCGTCCTCCAGCTCAGGGACTCCTGCGGAGATGACCCTGGTGCCCGGGGTGGCATCCTTTGCCCTCTTTTGGACTTCCTGCTTTCGCAGGATACCCGGCCTTGGGGTATTCCCCGAAACCTCAGGCTGCGGGAGGCTTTCCTTTGAATCGGGGTCACCGGGCTCCCGGAAGGTGACGAGCTTTGGCACCTGGAAAGTGACGCGCCTGGGCCGCTCCTGGCCCTCCTCCTCATAGTCCTCCTCCCCCGCCTGCTTCCTGGAGCGGAGGATCAGGTAGGTGGCCATGACCTTGTCGTACTTGTTAGCGTCAATGGCCTCCCGAATTTCCTGCCTCTGGTAGCCCAGGCGCTCCATACCTTTGATTATGGCCGGGTCCTGGGGGCTGAGGGACGGCTCGCTGAAGGGCAGGAGTCCCTCAGTCTTTTCTGCTACCCAGGCGTGCTGCCGGATGCTCTCCAGGGTGCTGCGCCTACAGGGGTCCTTTTCCAGCATTTTGGCCAGTACGTCCTGGCACTGCTCCGTGAGATAGTCGGGCAGCTGGACCCGCCTGCCCACGACGCGCACCCTGATCGCCCAGAGGTTTGGGCCCCTGAAGGGCAGTGTGCCGGTCACCATTTTATAGAACACGACGCCCAGGCTCCACACGTCCACCTTGGGGCCATTGTAGCGCTGGCCAAGGTAGACCTCGGGGGCCCTGTATTCTGGGCGACAGCAGCACCTGCTCAGCGCCCGGTTGAAGGCCTGGACGCTGAGCCCAAAGTCCACCAGCTTGACTTTCCCCTCTCGGGTCAGCAGAATGTTCTCAGGCCTCACATCCCTGTGCGCGATGCCTTTGGCATGGCAGTAGCTGAGGGCCGCGAGGATCTGCCGAAAGAGTGGCCGGGCCTCGCGCTCGCCCAGGCGCCCACGCCTGTCCAGGAAGGCCTGCAGGTCCTCCCCCTGCACGTATTCCATGACGAGCTGCAGCTCCGGCCCGGTGTCCACCACCTGGAAGAGCTCCACGATGTTCGGGTGGTGAAGGGCCTTCATGCACCCCATCTCGCGGGCCAGGAGGCGGAGGTCGGGCACCTCGGACTTGCGGACGCCCCTGATGAGCACCTTCGTGCCCGTGAGCGCGTGCAGCGCCAGCGTCACCTTGGCGTGGGAGCCCCGCCCCAGCTCCCGCAGCACCAGGTAGCTTTGCCCTTGCCGTCCCTGGGACATAGCGCCTGTGCGCTTGACTACGCTGACCACCCTCACCAGCCCTGACTGGTGATACAAATACAAAAAAAAAAAAAAAAAAACAAGGAAAATAAGGTAAAAAACAAAGAAAGAAAAATAAAATAACTAAAATAAATAGCCTAAACAAATAATTAAATAAATAAACAATAAATAAGCCCAAAGGAAACCAAAGACCCCAAAACAGGCTCTCACTGTCTCTCTCGGCGTCCGGAGTGCACAGGTCACTGTCCAGAGCTTCCCGGCTCCTGAGGACACAGGCGCAGTCCGGGCGGGCCTGATGCAGGCGGTGCCGGTGCCGTCACAAGGGCTCTTTGTGGCGTCAGAGCCACAGGCCACAGCCATTGGCAGAGGGAACCGCCAGCGGTTTCTCAGCCTTAACGAAAAAGCTGCCGCTTAACGACAACCCTTGGAATGCCCGAGAGGCCCTTTCATCTGTCCTGAGCAATCCCGTCCTGGGTTTTGGCTTTTCCAGGCGTCCCCATCCTGGCCCCGCCTTGTGCAGATGCTTTACTGTCGCGCTCACACTGTGGGGAGAACAGCAAACAGGGGGCGCAGGCGGTTGGGCGCGCGCTGGGGAGCTGTCCACAGCCTCTGCCGCGCCCGCGAGGGCCCACGTGGCGCGCAGACCCCTCCTGCCCCGCCCGCTGCTCCCCTCAGCAGTGGATTTCAGTCAGTCTGCCTGTTCTGTTCCAGGCTGTCTCTGGGGAATCCTCTCACCCTCCCGCGCATCTGGCCTGCACCCCGGTGCTTGTATAAATAAAATACATCTTTAAGAAAATTAAAAAAAAAAAAAGGCACAGTTACTGCTGTTGCAATGAACTAGTAAGGTTTAAATTCTAAAATTTTCAAGAGGTAATTTCAGGATTCTTTTTCAGCCTGTCTTTCTTTTTGGGGGGCTGTAATTGTGTCATGCAGTCAGTTTAGTAGAAAAATAACATTAAATAATAATACTATATGCACAAAAGTTCCTTTGAGAAGGAATATACTAACAAATCCAATAGGTCATAACAGTACCAGTGTGCTTAAAACTAAACAAAAATGTTAGGAAATTCAGAATACTTTGTTTTTTAGGTTGCTTTTAACACTTCAACCAAAATAAAGTGATTTAATAGTGATAAATATCAGGAAGTATAAGTATCATTGTTTTAATTCTATGTATATTACATATATCAATATGTGCACTTACATATATATTAATATCTGAGGAAGGAGATTTAGAGAGGCTAATTACTTTTTCCAAGGTTACCTATATATGATATTCACTCAAAAGAAACAATGACTAATTATTGAGAAACTACACTGTACTTTTGTAGAATTGATAGTGTTCTAGTGATCAAGATATAGAGATAAAACTGTTGTGATAAAATTGTTGTGATAAAACTGACTTTTCAGTGGCAGGGAATAAAAGCAATATAAATAAGTTTTAAAATATCCAACAGAGAAATAACAAATGGTGATAGGAACTGTACAAAGGATCGTAACAAACCAATTGAATTTTCAATGCCATTTAGGATAACATCAAAATATGAAACCCATCAGGATATTTTTAATAAAATGTATGTATCTGTAAAGCTATGAAAACATTATTCTTTCATGGAAACTATAAGACTTCAATAAATGACAATATGAACTCTATTGACAGACCAGGATGCCTACAGCAAAGTTTGGGAGAAAGCACAATTGCAGAGGGGAGCACAGAGAGGCAGAAAGGACGGAATCACCCTGCAGTAAGAAAAAGGAGGTCAGTGTTTCATGTGGACAAAGGAGAAGGAATTGTGAGATAAGGTCAAAGATAGTCACAGAAACTAGTCACTCAGAACTTCCTAATTCAGGGGGATGGCCTGAACTTCAACTAATTGTGAAAATGGAGAGAGGTGTTGGCGAGTGGAGTGAATTGAATAATTTGTGTTTGAGGAAAATCTCTTTGCATTGGGGAAACTAGATTGTAGGAGAACAAGATGCAACAGGGAAAACAACGGAGAAACTTGCAGTAGACAAAGAGAGAGGAGTGGGTCAGAGTGGTACTTTGCTTAGGATGTGAGCTAATAGGGCTGCTTTGGATGGATATAGAAAGTGAGGGAAAGACAGAAATTAAAGATGCTGCCAAACTTTCTATCTTGAGCAACTTGGTAGATGTAATTGCTATTTGCTTTTTTTCTTTTTTTAAAGATTTATGTATTTATTTATACAAGCCCTGGGTACAGTCAGAAGTGCGGGAGGGTAAGAGAATTCACCAGAGCCAGAGCAGAGAACAGAATAGGCAGAGTGACGAAATACACTGCTGAGGGGAGCAGCGGGCACAACAGGAGAGTTCTGTGGTGCCATGTGAGACCCTCGCTGGTGGCCAGGTATTGAACCGGCACTGCAGATTCTGTGGGCAGCTTCGCAACCTAGTACTCAACCGCTGCGCCACTAGGGGAGGCCCATGCTTTTTTTTTTTTTAAGTTTTATTTTTATTTGCTGAATTCAGAGAACAAAGAGTAGAGGTTTGGGTAGATGGAAGATTGGTGTAGTTGAAGAGGTTAGGTTCCATCTTCTTTTATAAGAAATCACACCACTCTATCTAACAAAGATTATTGATATAGAATGTTGTGGGGAAGAATCAAGGTGGAGGCCCTGTTGCAGGGGTGAAAGAGTTCACCAGAGACAGATGGGAAATACCAGGCGAATTTATTGAAATACACTGCTAAAAGAAGCAGAGGGCGAAACAGGAAGGGTGGACTGCTCAGAGTTTGGGTCCCAAGTCTCTACGCTTTAGAACCATTGACTGGTTAGGGTGACTAGTCTTGGGTGTGTCCTGACTGATGATCTGAATCAGCATAGAGGATCATCAGTTCTGGGCCTCACCAGCTTAAGGTCCATGTTTCCATGGCAGTTCCATCCACTCCCTTTATCATTCCAGCCTCCCAAACTTGCCTCTGGCCAAGGAGTGGGGGCTTGGTTTTCAAATTCTTAATGATACCTTGACAGACCAGAGGTGCAGGGGTGAAAAATTTCACCAGAGGCAAACTGGAGAACAGAAAAGGCACATTTGTTCAAATACACTGCTAAGAGAAGCAGCTAGGGAGACAGGAAAGATCTACAAGTGAAGAAAGATTTTGGGCTCCCTTTTATAAACAGTTTTGTCAGTTTTGCTTTGGGGAGTTAGTTTTGGGCTGGTTAGTACAGGGGTGTCTGATCCTGGGGGCTTGATCTTTGACCCAGAATGTGTCCTGGCCTTGCCTCCACATTCCTGGTCAAAGGGATCCATCTTACGGATTGGGACCCAGAGCAGCCTCATCAGTTCTCTCTGTGTTCAAGCCTCCCAAACCTTCCTGCTGGGCAAGGGGTAGGGGCTTAATTTTAACCTTATTTAACACTTCCCCACCATTTGGTTTCTGTTTTTCTGCCACAGTGGATAATTTCCTATATGCGATTTACATTCCCTCTTCTTGGTCTTCACCTGTCTGCATCCATTAAATTTGGAAGTCTCTACTGACAGAAACAATTCAAAGCATGCACTTTATGACTTAACACTCTTATATCAATAAGTGTCAAGTAAATTACCAAAAAGGGAACCCCAAATCCCCAAAGGCTAAACACGGAAGCAATTCTACATTTTCTTAAGAGAGAATTTCTGACAATTAAGTTGTAAGTTATGGTACAATCAAAAGAGCAAAAGGGGGTTGAATTGGGTTGCTTTATTTTTTTATTACTCATTCCCTGTCAAAACCATGTTTAATTACCAAATATTAAAACATGAGCCCATCAAATCAGCAAAAATAGTATAAATTCTGGAAAAAGGAAAGAAAATACTGTGATTTCCAGAGAAAGGATTATGTTGTCACTCCTGAAGTGCTGCACTGGTCTGGCACCTGCTCACTCATGTACAACCTAGGAGAGGGAATTAATAGCCCCTGTGGCGACCCTCGATCTATGGGAGATAGAAATCAGCGAGTAAATAGGTCCCTCCATCTTTCCTTCCATCGGTGGACAATTCTGAGGTGTATTCCACATCGCTCCTTAGAGGGCCCCAGGGAGATTGAACCCCAGTTGCCCATGGCAGTACCCAGGTCAGTAAAGCACCCAGGTATCAACTTTTCTTCCACTCCCTGCTTTATGTTTCCTGTTCCCAGGGTAATGAACCCAAATAAACTATTTGCATGCAAAACCTCAAGTTTTTTTCTGGCTAAGATACGTGTGTTACTTGGGGAAAATGGAGATGGGGATAAATCTGCTGATATGGGTGTGGAAAGGTATCCCAGGAAAATTATCATTTATGCTAAATGCTGTTTATGTAAAAACACATAGATATGTAAAGAGATGCATGCAAAAATGTCACGAAAATATTAATGCTTATTATTATGGTAAGATGACAAGATAATTTTTATTATATTTTTATATTTCAAAAGTTTCATATTTTATAAATGGTTTGAGTTGTTCACAATGAATGTGTGATATTTACATTATATAATTAGCGAAACGTAGTAAAAATGGGAGTACAAATAATGAGACAATAAATAGATCTTTGGGCCAAGGTGGTATTTCTCGCTTTAGACATCTACACATAACAATCTTTTTTTCCTGAAGCCAGAAAGCAAACCCATCTCTATAGAAGTAAATAGAAGTTTTACCTTGTCAAAACAAGTGTCCAGGCATGAGCAGAGCCCACTAGTTGCATAGCAAGGGCTGGACTTCAGTCTGAGCTCCACTGGAACCTCTTGCTATCCTCACACACCATCCTCCAACCTTGCTGAAATCACATAACTCCAACTCCCACTTGGAGAAAAAGAAAAAAAATGTCCTAAACTCTCAGGCATTTGGTATTTCCTCAAAATTCTCACTTATGAGAGATAACAAGAGGAATTAAATTGGCTTATTTGTTCCAAAGGCTGATTTGGGCCCTATGAGGAATGATGGCATCTATTTACAATTATCTTTCCTCCACTATCCCTCCCTCTGATCCACAGTTTCAAGTCTTTCATTTATAATTGTCCTTAATATAGCTTGGTTCAGTTCCTAACTAGAACGTGCAGTGGGAAGGAATTGGGACAGTGTTTTTGAGAGGTGGGGGAAGTGATTGAAGCCCTTTTATGAACCAGGATTTGAATTTTGGAAAATACAGGCAACTTTCTATTTCTTTTTAAAGATTTTTTTTTATTTATATAAGAACTGGAGTGTAGTCAGAGGCATGGGAGGGTGAAAGAATTCACCAGAGACAGAGCAGGGAGAAGAACAGGCAGACAGACAGAAGACACTGCTGAGGGCAGCAGCGGGAGAGGCAGGAGAGGTCTGCCGTGCCATGTGGGTTTCTCCCTGGGCGGCCGGGAATCGAACCCACACTGCAGAGGCTGCGGACAGCTTCACAGTGCAGTGTTCCACCCACTGCACCACCAGGGAGGCCCGCAACTTTCTATTTCACACCCCTCACAGAAGAAATCTTCAGGGTGAAGATTCTAAGTATGAAGGATTTTGAAATGTGTACTGGAATGAAGAGGGTTGGTGAAATCAGTTCCAAAATCATCAGGTGACAGCAGCTTCAAATATTAGTAAATCCTGACTTGAGAATTGAAGAAAATTTCCCACTGGGAAAAAAAAAATGGAATGAAAGTTGATACTTGGCACTTGATTCTACAATCCAGAAGAAAGAAAAGGCAAACTTCCTGCAAACATCAGTTTAGGGACTTAAACACACCAGAAGCATCGTTTTTCAACTTCAAGATGTATGTTTCTACCACCCAGTGGCGATTAAACAAACTGATGAACACTCTTTTAAGTTCAATATTCTTTATTGGAAACCATAACTTATAAGACAAACTATCAGGTCATCCCCAAATGCCGGGTTTTCCTTAAACCTCAGGTTCTCACCATCCCCGGCTGCAGGGGGCCTTTTTGGCCCAGTCAGATAAGGTACTAGCAAGCAGCTAAGAAAAAGGGCCTCACACCGTGGGGCTGAAGATTTAACAACCCTTTGCTTGTTGTTCTTGGTCACAAAAAAAGAGAAAAATTTATCAGAAAGTATATTAGGCAATAAATTACACGTATCAGCATATTGTAAGTGAACAGCACGGAAAATTATCTGTTTAGAAATTAGTTATTAAACAATTTGGCCCACTTGACAATGGGAGACAATTTATTGTACATGCCTGACAAGCAATCCAGCACAATTATAGTAGGTCCTTCTTTTGCCTTCTCTTGAAGCTTCTTGGGAAAGTTTTTTAATGAAGCTATTTGAGTTAAGGAGTTTTAGGTAGAAAAAGTTCTGATAGTTGAGTAGCAGCCGGTCCCCTGGCTGAAGGCCATGCGAATAAGAAAAGTCTTTTCTTGCTTAGGCTTTAGCTGATAGGGGTGTCCTGGCGGCTATCCACTGTCTTAGGTTATTGTTTAACTGAAACAATGAGTTTTAGTGTAAGGCTTAGTTTTTTATTAAACTCGAAGGTTGCCTTCTTGCTGAGAGCACGTAGTGGCCAAAAGTCTATGGAAAAAAGGATGCACTGATTGTTTCTGCTTTGTTTCTATGCACATGATATTGTCATCTCACGGCTTGCTAAAAATGTATAAAGAACCTGCTGAGTCTCTCGGCAGAAGATACTTGCACCTCATCCAGTGTCAGTGTCTCCTCACTGTCTCATCCCCTTCCCCTCAGTCCCTTTCGCTGCACCTAGACCGTCTTTTCCTTTCAAGGACTTCAGACCTGACATTTTGCTGAAAGCTGGTCTGCGGCAATCCCCCATTCCACATGGCTCCTTAGAGGGAGCAAAG